CCGCTCTGCCTCGAAGTAACATCGGCCGGACACGCTCTCCCTGCACAGGACCTGGTAATAGCTGTCAAACCTCTCTGGGTGGTCAGGAACGGAGAGAGAGGTTTTGCTGCACGTCACCTCACCAGTCTCTGAGGAAACGCTGAGGTTTCTGTGAGCCGTGTTCAGGTCGAGAGTCAGGGGACCCGAATCTGAAATCCAGAGACACAAGTCATGGATTAACAGACAGTAATTCTGTTGTCTGTTGCACATTTGATTGCATGTGTGTGTGTGTGTGTGTGTGTGTGTTACTCACATTCCAAAAACTATATTTATATTCATATAATTTATATTATATATAAATATATTTAATATATAAACATAACACATTTTTCTTAAATATATACATGTATGTATGTGTATTTATATATACATAATAAATATACACAGTACACACACATATATTATGTACACTAAAACTTTTATTTTGGATGCGATTAATAGTGATTAATCATTGCCCAGCAATCAAGTTTTTAATTCAGTGGTTTATCATTTAATTTAGCAAAATAAAACTTCTGGCAATATTATCCAATAATAAGGAATCAGAATGTGATTCATTAATCACATTGAAATGCACTGTAAAATTTGTCATGAATTTACAGTATTAGATAAATTAGGTCAAAAATTTGCTGTGAAATAAATGCACATTGGGTTATTTTCAGCCAAATTACTGTGAAACAGCAGAATGCTGCTAACAACATGTCATTTACTGCTCTTGTTTATTATAAAGCTGTCATTAACCAGTTATACACAAGAGAAGTCCAACTGTGAAATTACTATTAAAGTAATACAATTATGAACCTGGAATATACTGCAATTTTACACTGAAATGTGTAGTTAGCATGCTATTCAAAATATATTCAGATGACGACTTACCTTTTTTTGACAATTTCTCCAATTTCTTCTGGCACAGATCTTTAATGTCCTCACACAGATATGTGAGTTTTCTTGACACCATCTCAAAAGAGAAGTCCGGATTAACTAGAACTGCAGGAGAGGTCACCAACTCCGGCTGACTACACAGTGCTTCATAGCTCTGAGGAATATAATGAAATAAACTCTCTTAGACCAAAATCACAAATGACATGTACTTTAGCACTGACGCTACCTTCAGGAACTGAGTTTCATCATCAAGGTGTGCAAGCGTGTCGTATTCAGCATCTCTCCTCTTGAACTCTGCGATCTCCTGCTCTAGTTTCTCCATAAATCCATGTGCCTCGTCTAATTCCATCTGCTCCTTTGCTTTTATCATCTCTGTCACCTCAAAACACAGTGCCTCAATGGACTGAATCAGCTCACTGATGATCTTCTCCGTATCCTCCACTGCTGCCTGGGCAGAGCTCTGTTATACAACAAACAGAACCAGAGAAGTGATGAGTCCAAGAACCTCTCTGTGTATAACGGGTCTAATAAGGATCATAAGTTGACCCACACTATTCCACTTGTCCATTAAGATTTTCCACCTCCTGGCAGTAATAGACTCACCCTGAGAGAGAGGACGGCGTGACTCAGATCCTGTAGCTCCGTCTCACGCTCCTTTATGACCTGCTGGCATCTCCTCTGTGACTGCTTAAGCTCTTGCTGCAGACCAGAGGATAAATACATGAAGAAACATATTTTTTGAAACAACAAAAAGAAATCCAGCAGCACATGTGAGGAGAATTGAATTATACATTTTGGCTTTCAAACCTTTATCAGGTTTTTTTTCTCCATCATTACAAGTACTACTAGATCTCTTTTTGTTCCTAGTTGATTTATTCCACAGCCCTTGTGAGCCATAAAGTACCAGTTTTAAATGTTTTTCAACATTTCTTCTGTGGTGAGCATGTTTTTCATTTCTGATTAAAATTCATTTTGATATTTTTTGAGACATAAATTTAAAAATCAGCAAAAAAGCCTGATATATCATTATTTTTTATATTACAATTATTATTTATTAGGGAAAAAAGCAGTGATGTCATTGTGTGACGTCCCCCAAAAGTATTGATACTTAGAAATTAATCATTTATCATATTTATAAAAAGAAGCCCTAAACATGTAATGATAGTCCACTGTAGGCGAGCGTAGTGAATCCAAGTGCAGATTTTATTAAACAAAGTGTATTCCAAAATACCAACAAACAAAGACTTGAATTGAACAGACTAGACTTGACTTAACTTAACTTGACTATGACTTAAACACTCATCGACAGCAGGATAAATACATTCAATACACGCCAAAGCACAAAGGCAAAATGATGGCTACTTATAGCAAATAATCAGGGTCACATGACAAGAACCAACCAATGAGGAAACAAGACACATGACTAGGACAACCAATCAGAACATGACACACAGACAAGAGTACCACATGGCAGGATCACATGACACAATGACAGGAACATGAAACAAGGCAAAATATCAAAATAAAAGACATGAAAACCTAAACCAGAAACAAAACCCAAAACAGACCTTACAAAACAATACATTTACCTTGAAAAATGTATTCAAAATGTATATTCAAGGACCTTTTTTTACTGTAATATAATAACACACACATTATATCTATTTTATCAATTTAATAATTTAATCCAGGGGTGTCCAAACTCAGTCCTGCAGGGCCGGTGTCCTGCAGAGTTTAGCTCCAAC